AAACAACGTTGTTTTATCAAGTCGTAATGTAAACTTTATTTCTCTGAATGTAAACGTTTAATAAGGTCTATTTTTAAAAGAAGTATGGAACTAATACCACAATGTATATATACATATATATTATATTATTAATATAAAAATTTATATATTTGTTGTAATGTAAAAAAAAAAAAAATATATATATATATATATAAATGATATTCGCATAATTAAAAAGAGGTTAGACACGACAGGTTCAAACTCGCATCTTTTGAAGAAATACTTAGTTAAAATGTATTGTTATTAGGGATGGAAACGAAAGAGTCGAAGTTATACGTCAATGATGATCGCAATCTAAGACGATAAGAAATTTTCAACCATTTTCTCCATTTTGTTTTACTAATAAATAAATCGATAAATCAACGATCTATAACAAAATTAATTCGATTCGATTACGAACTCTATTGCGCCTGGCAAACGATCGAACGAAAACATATGAGAAAACATTAAAGGGGATTAACAATGCGTTGACACATGCATTTGATTGAAATTAAATATAATATAAAGATATTTTATCTAATAAAAAATATATTATTATATTAATAAAATATTTGTAATACCTTGAAATTCGGCTTGGGCCCAAACAGAATCCATAAGACAGAAGAGGAGGGCGACACAAAACTTCACCACCGTCGCAAAGTTACGCATTCTGAGTCGACATTATTCTCCAAACGGCACGAAAAATCACGATAACTTCTCTCTAGCTCATAACCGTAGTTATAGAAATACACTAAACGTAGTTACCGGCGCGTCTTAACAAGAACGAACCATCCCTTACGATGTTCGGTGACACACTGAAGAACGGACGCGGAAAAGCGAACGGCTAAGAGTCGATGTTGCCAAACCTTCAGGGACGGTGAACTCTGGCGGCATGCGCATGCGCGTTCGACGTTCGAATCAAAACGCGGGCAAACGCAAGAGCGCGTAAATAAAAAATTTAAAAGATAATCAAAATTTTCTTTTTTTTTCTTGTTTGTTTTCTTGCCATTTCTTTCTCTCTCTCTCCCTCTCTCAAGTAAATATGTGTTTGTGTGTGCATATATATACATATATATATATACATATACATATATATAAAAGTTGGATCGAATATTAATAAAACCTTAATAAACTGTCATGTATTAGGATTATGAAAAAATAATCCCGCTATAACAGCCTTACGATTTATACCGTATTTTATTATTCTTCATATTTATATTACACAAAGATGTATACTTAATCGTATTGTTTTATCGATTTCAAATACAATTCGCCGATTCGTCTACCATTCCATATTATTAAATAGATTGAAACCGATATCTTTCTTAACGATTATTAACATTAAACCAGGTCACAAAAAATGCGTATATCTAGTCGATTTGTAAAGGGAAGATATTTAAGGGGAAAGGATTGAGAAGAAGAGAAAGAAGAAAAAATAGACTTTGTATTGAATCATGTTTACGGTACCGAGAGGGAAGGAATAAAAATATCTAACGTTCGTTAACGATACGTAATTATCATATTCTTTTTTTTCTTTTTTTTTTTCATTTTCTTGTTTTTTTTTCCTCTTGTTACCAGTAGTAGCGATCATTACTACCAATCCTCTCTCACCACATATCACGCAGCGATATATTTTTACTTTACAGATTTATATTTTATACAAATTACTTAGGCATTGTGATATTCAGGTTTCTCTTTGCTTAATTATCATTTTGGTTTGCTCTTGCTACCATTATCTCGGCAATTTACAAGCCTTTCGTTCATTTATACAAATCAGTACCTTTCCCACGTCACTTTGAAAAAAAAAAAAAAAAAAAAAAAAAAAAAAAAAAATTTCTTGAAGTTTATTCAATCAACTGTGCGTACAAAGAGACCTTTATATTTTTTATAATCATAATTTTGGTAATAGATCATTACACCTTGGCAATCGTCCTTGCCACGAATGGACTAAGAAATACAATATGTATACAACGTTATAGCGACTTACTACAAAAGTGAACTGTACATACGACTATCCCATATATAATAGGTCTTCTATGTATGCAGAGTTGTGAAAAAAGAAAAAAAAAAAACACCCCCCCCCAAAGAATAATATATCGAAAATTAGTAGTCACCCCCGTCGTTTTCTTTTTTTTTTTCTTTTTTTTTTTTTTTGTTTTTTTTTCCTCCAGAGATTTCCTTTCTTTGTATCACAAGTATTAATATTACAATTATTTTTCTAAGATAGAATCTTACTTCCTCTTTCATACACAATTGTAGAATATAAGCGTTTTGTTTATAATTCAACGTCTTTCTCGTTAAATTTAAAACGATAGTTTGGCCGTGTTTATTCTTTTCTTAGAAAGACCACGCTTGACATAGGAACACTTTGAAGCAGTGTCTTTATAGATGTTTAGGAAAAAATCAGACTCTTTCGCTTTGAATTTTATATTTCTTCAATGTTTCAAGAAACATTATACTTCTTCTTCTTCTTTTTTTTTCTCTCTCTCTTTTTAAATAAAATGCTTCTTCGCGCTCCTCTTGAACCATTTTTTTACAAGATATTTGTTACTATGTACGGTATATATGTACAAAGAATTCATTTATGTGTTCGACAATTTATCTTTCCTTTCTAAACGGCTAATATTTAAAAATGATTACATTTAATTACCATACTCTGTGCTGTGGGAGGAGGAGTGAAAACTATTTGTAGAGTGTGTATTTTGTGTTGTCTTGTGTGTATCGTATGCACGCGCGCGCACATGCATATATATATAATATATATATATATATACTTTTTTGTCTACGCAAATTAATATTATGTACATTGTATTTTTTTTTATATATATATATATATACTATGTGTGTTATATATATAGTATTATTTTTATACAATTTTCCTGATTTTTGCTATTTCTCCCTGATACACCAAGAGAATCGTTCGTGAATGTTCTTTTACACTTGACACATAGCAAAAACTGCCTCTCTTATGCTCTTATATAAAGTGGTGAAAATGAAGATGACAATGGCAATGACGAAGATGATAATAATAACATTAGTATGAAAAACAGTATAATGTGTAAATCAATATAATAGTTAGATTTAAAAATAATAACAGTAGTATAATATAAGTATTAGCGATTAATTTAATCACTAAGATGTACCCGCGTGGTTTGGATTGTAATCACTGATCTAATGCAACGTAAAATACATTACTAAAGATGGTGATGTTACAATCATTATGTCTCTATTCATATAAAGTCAAATTAGTCTTTTCCATTTATAATATTTTGTTACAAGATAGTACAAGCAATGCCGGCATAATCATTTTCAAGTGTTCTCTGTCAATGAAATAAATTCAATGTTATATTTGTTTGGAAATTAAAAGTTTCTTCCTTTTGTTGTGACTTTGTTCTTTAATAATAATACTATCATCGCTAATGTTTTGTATTTTATTTTCATTGTTGTTGTTGTAGTTGTTCTATTTTTACTAGACATCGAAAAACGCTTGGAATGCAACGACATTAAACATATAAATTAATGTTAATGCATTGTTATATTTTATTATCTCGAACGATATACATATAAAATATGTAAGACTTTATATTCGTGAGGACTAACGTATTCTTAATAAATATAAAAAAATATCCCTTTTCTATTTGTTTCTTTTTCCTTATAAGAGAACACTTGTATATCCAAACATTTTCAGCGCTCGTTAAAAAAGTTACTGCATTATCCGTCTCGCTTGTTTGTCAGTTGTCTATTATTATCCAGCCCCCTGTCATTCATTGAGTCCAAAAATCTTAATCCAATATGCCCTGTACATTGTTCCTGCGTACACGATGTTTCAGGAAAATATTTCAAGTGTTTCCAAGTGTTTCATTGAGTGTGTAAAAAAGCAAACATTTTCTTTTTGATTAACATCTTATTTTCTTGATAGCGCGATCCACCTATTCTACAGATTTTTAAATAAAAACTTTGCTCCTTTTTTTATTTTTTTTTTTATTTTTTTTTTATTTTTTTTTTTCTTTTTTTTTATTTTTTTTTTTTTTTTTCTTTTATATATTAAGTCGAAAGGCCACTGTTCAAGGCCACAGGCCATGACAACGAATTAAATTTAATTAACGAGAAGTTTTGTCGTTTCCGTTAATTTGTTGTAATTCTCAGAGACAGTTTAATAGCATTCTCATTTGAACATCTTGTACATTGGAAAGTCTTTCTCTCGAGCATATTGATTCTAGACTTCATATCTGTAAATTGACACATCACTATCCTTACATTCATCCTCTTTCACACTTTCAAACATACCCTATGCATCGAATGACACGGAGCGTAAATTTCAAAACGCTTTTTGAACGTTAAATGCAAGGCAGCATAATGTAATTTTAAGATCTCGATCGAGTTATGCAACTAATATTCAGGTAACGAGATATATCCATTCTCTATTCACATTTGTTTTCTAATTATCAAGAATAGTTTTAAAAATAAATATAATAAAAAAATGTGTACACACACATACAATGTATATGCAATATAATATTTGCAGACGTTTTGTTTTACGCTCTGCTAAATCGGACTTACCTTACCAACTAGTAAGGCTTATCATCAGTCACACACAAAACAATTTTTATAATTTATACCTTATATTTATTGCCTGTCATTCGGTGCACGCGCTGTTAAACAGGATCTCTCAGTGTGGCGTAATGAATATTAACTATTTCAACTTAGTCTATACACACGCACTCACCGAAATTTCACGTAACTCGATGAAGGTTACATTTAGGTATGTATTGATTCATATCTAAATGCCAACCTTTTGTCAAAGCACAGGGATAATGTGTAACAGCTTTACATCCGCGTTTAACGCAACCAATGTTCGCGCCCGTTAAGCCGCAAGAATCACAAACCGACTTTGCGGCATCCCACACAGCTTCTTGCAAACCAGTCACTCTTCCACCTAGAAAAAAAAAAATATATATATATATATAAATATATACACACATATATATATATATATGCCTTTGGTACCGATACCGAACGTCATCGATCAACATTTTCAAACTTACGCATATACTTACCAGCCATATAAACACCAGCAGCCCAAACAGCACACTGTTCATGAAGCCAAACTTCCCAACGTTGTTCCTCACCAGGAATTACGGTCATTCCAGTAAACATTGCATTGGTATTACTTTCAACCGAATTCCTTTTCTTTTTACTCATTTTCGCGGAAAACTGATCGGCCAGTCCAGCGTACCTCAAACTTCTTTTATTCTTTCCACCCTTTTTTTGTTCTGTCGTTATCTCCTGTTCGTCAGCCGAAAGGATTCCATCTTCTAGCCGTTCTTTTCCAATTAAATACGGACCAAATAAATCACTTAAAACACCCGCTGGAACCTAAAACGATAATAAATAATAATAACAAACGTTATAACGCAGTAATGAATTATTTTCTAATTTGTAGATATGCATATATGCATACCGTGTAAGTTCCCGGTGCAATATGTGGACCTGCCAAATTTGGATGAGGTCTAGATGGATCCCCTGGTATGACACTGTGGGGGCCTTGTTTGCAAAATACACAAACCCACGTAGAGTCAGTCGTATGTGCGTCATATCGGGACGATAAAGTAGAACTAAAAAGACCTGCTCTACTGACTTTACCTATAAATAAGAATTAATTGAAGTGTATAAAAATCTTTGTAAATTTTCTTTGAAATTATATACGTACCTCTATAATCTAAATCGTTTTGATGACTGAGCCTTTTACTTCTCCCTGCATTTCCATTGCCGATAGTTTTTCTCTTTTCTTTATTCTTTTCTTCCTCTTCTTCCCTTGGCGCATTAACTACTTGAATACTCAAAGGACTATCCCTTGGTCCTTCAACGTGAACCACTGGGCCACGAGACCTAATGGAACTCGCGTTTGATCCCGAATCATATGCCATTTCCCGATATCCTTCGATCTTTGTATTTTTCTTAACCTTCTTTGAGAACTCTTGCTTTTTCAAACTCTTAGACGTACGTCTCTTTTTAGAATCCTTCTGAGGTGATTCACTACCGACATTTCCAAAAATATTCTCTGTAGATCTAGAAATTTTCCTTTTACCTCCCTGTACCTTCCCTTTCTTCCCTTTCTTTCCTGATAATTTGGCATCTACCGTAGAAGATACATCAGTAGGCTCTACATTTTGAGTGTCTTTATTAGTTTGCAAAATATTATTTTCGATATTTTCAACCTTCGTAATATGTTCACTTTGACCCGAGACAGAAAAGTCTACTTTAGTTTCTTCTTTTTTAACGTCTGGCTCTGTTTCGACGATTCCGGCAAACATCTTCTCCAATTCTGATTCAACTTCATTGAACGGATTTGTATTATTAACAGCCTTTGGACTCGTTACCTTTGAAAATTCAGTTGCATCGTCGCTGGATTTTCTCCGCACCCTTTGATTCGCCGAGGTCGAATTTGTAGTAGAACTTTCACTACTTCTCCGCCTCCTAACCGGTTGATTTTCTTCGTTTCTTTCTTCGACATTATTTTCACATTCGTTTTCGTTTTCTATCTCGTTTTCGTTATCACGTTCGTTTTCGTTCTCGTTTATATTATCATTTATCTTTTCATCTAACCTCTGCTCTACGCTCTCAACCTGTTCTTCTACTTTCACAGCTGTCGTTGGTGTACAATTGACTACTACTACTTCTTCTGGTATCGATTCCCTCGTTCTTGGTTCCGTTGGTTCTGTCGGTTCAAGTTCCATATCTTCTACTTCTGTTTTTGAATCTTTACTAAGTCTTACGGGTTTCTCTAATTTTCTTTTCCTACGTTGTTTGGTATTATCATTGGAATCGTCGTTACTGAATGCAGGTGATACAACCTCGTCTTCTCTATTTGGAGATTTTGATTTTTGCCTTTCAGGTGACATGCTTTTAACGCTCGATGTATCCTTTTCCTCAACCGGCATTACTATAACGGAACCTATATTTTCAGTACCACCGAGCTTCTTATTTCCACCTTCTAATTTTTCCAATAAAGAGTCAACACCCTTTTTACCCCTTTTAGGTAAGTTCTTGGGTGACCTAACACTCGTTTCTTCGTGTTTTTTGTCCCGTTCGGAAGACGATTCCCTTTTAGGACTATCTGTAACATCCTTCTCCATTTTTGACGTTAGATTGACGATAACAGGTAAAACATTCCTTGGCACTTGTGCAATTACACTCAATGTATCTTTACTTTTCGTAATTTCTGGTTCCTTCTTATCCGCGACCACACGTTCGATCGTTACACTAGGCGGCAAATTAATAACTTTTTGTGCGAAACCATCGACACTTATCTCCTTAATCTTATCGTGGATATTAGCAACACCTTTTAAGTTGCTTTCGAAGTTTTTCACTGTAATTTTTGGAGTCGTTATTTCTTTTGTCGATAATGACACTGGTTCACTGACAGAATTAGGCGTTGGAACAGACGAACTAATTCCACTGTCTGATGAGGTTTCCCCATTAAGAGGTATTGGAGGAGAGATTATGTTTCCATTCCGACTACCTTTATCCACATTTCGTGCTGTTAAACTAATGGGGATATCTTGAGGTATACGAGAATAATTTTCTGGGATAATATCTGATGTAGCAGAAAGATCAAGTGTGTTCTGAGAACCTGGTGAATTTCTGTATTGATTTTGGTTTTGTCTATTGTCAACTAACATTTGTAAACTAAACAACGGATTGCCAGGAGTATTAGATGGCGTAACAGTTTTCGATGGAACAGTAGGTGTATGCCATGTTGGCGGTGCTTGAGTATGTGCAAGTTGTGGAGTCAATTGTGGCGTTAAATGAGATGCTCTTGATATAGATGGGTGAGTATAAAAGCCAGCTGGATTCAAAGCAGCACCAGGTAATCCTGATGGGTGAATATTTAAGCCTACAATATATATATATAAACACATTGTGAAAGGTCCAATACGTTAAATACTTCAATAAAAAATATTACAGTTACCATAAAAAATGTTACCTTGACCCTGTGTCATCGTGAGATGATTCCAAACTGTTTGAGGTGGAGGAGTGCCAACCGGTGGTCGGCTGTGACCCGGATATTGTCCCGACATTGCACCTGCTTCCCAATTTCCCAGTGTGATCTTAGAAGCGGCAGTTATGGGATCTATACTCTCAGCTTTATCTAATAACTCCTCCGTGCTATACTCTTCTTTGATATTACTGTATCTGTCATTCAAGTTTGTTCCTCTTCCCCTTTTTTCATGTGAAAGCATAAATGTTCGTCCCTTGAAATATTTGTCTAAGAAGAGCTTACTTTCTTGTTTCAAATTTATATCCAAAGCAGATTTACTATTCAACTTAATATCCGTGGATATGTTCTCTTGGGCTACATTAGATTGTGTTGTTGTATCACATTTAAATTTACATGATAAATTATTCAAATTCAAGAGTTTCAATAAATCATCATTCAATTCTTTGTACTTCGCCGCAAAAGAATCGTTCGTGTTGCAGAAAAAATCTGTTTGTGTTATAATAGGATAACTTGTCTGTACTGTTCTCTTATCACCAGCAGCAGGTAAATCTAAATAAGGATATCTTTCCTTTATTTTGGCGTCTTTATCACGATTGTAGACACTTCTCGTGGCATTTACTGACAAATCAAGAGGTTTGTTGACTTCTTTAACAGAATTGGATGAGAAATGATTAGAACTTTTATAAGATGCAGGTACATGCACAGAAGTTGGGCACAATGTAGTGTTATCAGCTGATTGAGAATATTTGGATAAATAATTGGAATAATCAATGTTTGCGTTAAAAGCTAATTTTTGTGCCTCTGACAAACTTCTGTATTGATCTTGCCAAAAACTACATTCAAGGTCACTCTTCTTCTTGACATTTATTAAATTATCTTTTTCTTTTTTCTTTTCCCCCTTCCAGGGGATTTCTTGTTTGCCCCCGTGGCCTTGAATAGTGTCTAACAAGGAATTTGATATTGTAAAATCAGCTGTCCTCGACACGTTTAGCTTTTTCGAATCCAGCACTGTGTTGTCAGATTTAGACTTTGATAGATCTTTAAACCTGTTAATATGTCGTTTAGTCACGTTGTCTATATCCAATTTATTTTCTTTCTTGCAACTCAGGTTGCATGTATCTTGCACGTCACAACGTGCTACGAGTTCTTGTTCATAATTCCATGGTAAGTAATTATATGACAGCGCCCAATTTGGCGCAACTTGGGGTATGTAAGGTCCTGTAAATAAACATCTATAATTAGAATCTTTCATCTAAATAAATTACAAAAAAAAAAAAAAAGAAAAGAAAAGAAAAAAAAAGAAAAAAAAAACAAACAATCAAATATACAAACTATAATGAAAAAGACAGTTTTACCATTGCTGGTTAATTCAGAGTTAACAGAATGGGTCACACCATAATGTAGCCTGGGAATATTCACAGTTTGTTTGTTTAAATCCTGTATGATTTGCAAATAAAGTTGATCGTCTGGCAACTTTCTATTTCTCCACAATATTGATTCTTCTTTTGAGTTAATACGCTTGTATATATCCGTGGTTTCTGTAATAACATCCAAAAAACATATCAAATATATGAAAATAAATTATTATCCTACCTAGATCTAATTTTAAGACAATCAATACAATCAAAAGAACTATTCATGTATAAAGTAATCACAAAAGGATCTTCTACACACAGGACACTGGAAAAAATTTTGTTTTAAATATTCACAATATAATCATTCAAACATGATTGTTGAATGTAATACGGAAACATCAATTAACAAAATATTGAACCTAATCTCACTGTTTTATCATGGACGATGGATTAATTATTAGTTGAAAACGTATGATTACTCTTGATCAACATATATATATATATATATATATATATATATTTTATATATTTATATATAATTGTATACTTTTAAAGGAATAAAACTGACTAAACGTTTTGATGTTAATTAAAATATTCCATAGTAATTCTTGAATTGATATAACACCAAACTAAATAAGGTTCATCCATTTGACTAAATTATCCCTCCTATCCATTCTTACTTTCTTCACTTTTCATCACAACCCTAATCACATTAAATAGATATAGAAGAGAACATTTCTTGGATGACACAACTGGGATCTCCTCTCTTCGTTTTTAAACCAAACATCAAGGTAGCGCGTGCAACTTGCAACGTGTAACATTAAGAGTTAATTCGAAATCATTGTAATATTAATGGTTATATGGTACACTCGCATATTTGATAGTTTCACGAAAGAAGACGCGATCGGTCGACACACGGATTCGCGTGATGATGGACCGCCGAGAGATTTAAAGGAAGAAAAAATCGGAATAGTACGTAGAAAAGAGGAAGGGGGTTAGAGGCTGCGGGGAGAAGGAGGAGGAGGAGGAGGAGGAGAAGAAGAAGAAGGAGGAGGAGGAGGAGGGGAAGGGAGGAGGAGGAAGGGAAGGGAAGGAAGGAAGGAAGGAAGGAAGGGAAAAATAAATGTCCATTAAGAAGGCCGAAAAAACAACACGTTAGATATTTCACGGGGAATAATTTTCTCGTCGCCAATACTACGATACGAGAGAGAGAGAAAGAGAGTGAGTGAGTGAGTGAGTGAATGAGAAAGAGAGAGAGAGAGAGAGAGAGAGAGAGAGAGAGAGAGAAAAATAAAGGCAGGAAAAGGAAAACGTACGGCACTGTGCGTCGAACGTTACTCTCTCACGAGAGAACGACGCGCGTCTCGATCATTTTTTTCAAGCGTATTATAGACGACGGAATTCGGTGGGGCTTTTTTTCCTTCTTCTCTCTCTCTCTCTCTCTTTCTCTCTCTCTCTCTCCTTTTTTTTCTTTTTTCCTTTTGCCAATTTCGTAGGGACACGCAACGTACATATGTAGGGTGCGTATATGTGTATTTGTATGCGTTATGTATACGCGTATGTGAGTCCGTGGTTAGAAGATGTGTGTGCGCGCGAGCGGAGGAATATGCGTACCACCGTTGATCGAGGCACGCACGCACGTAGAAGTAGCAGCAGTAGTAGCAGCAGCAGCAGCAACAGCAACAGCAGCAGTAGCACACACGCGTGTACAACCGCGTATACTATACACGCTCGTTCTTTCTTTCTCTCTCTCTTTTTCTCGCATTCGCACTCTCTCTCTCTTTCGCTCTCTCTCTCTCGCTCTCGCTCTCTCTTTCTCTATCTAGCTCTCTTTCTCTCTTAACTGTCGTACACACGATATACACGCATACGTATACGGAGGCGCGCGGCAGAACGTTAGCGGCGGCAGTGACGGTGGCGGCGACGACGACGAAGACGACGGTGGTAGCGACGACGACGACAACGACAACGACAACGACAACGACAACAACGACGACGACGACGACACAGAGAATCTCACATAGAGGCAGAGAAACACGCACTCACTCGCGCACTCACGCCCGACTCTGGAACGCGAAAAGAGAAGACACTGCCACGATTTCTTTTAACTATTTGCCTTTGCTTCATCCATTCCTTCAAATATCCATTCTTCGTCGTCGTCCTCGTCCTCCAAAAAGAAAACTCCCTTGTAATTATTACGAACAGTAAGAAATTGGCAAGAACTGTTTCGCTTTGGGCGCGCTTAAGGCCGTCTTGTCGATGGTAGCGCGTAGAAAGGCGGCAACGAGAACGAGAGAGAGAGAGAGAGAGACAGAGAGAGAGAGAGAGAGAGAGAGAGAGAGAGAGAGAGAGAGAGAGAAGAGGGGAGGGGGAAAAAGAAGAAGACAAGGCGAGCCAGATAGACGAACAGCAGACAAGACAGGGAAGAGGAGGAGAACCGCGTGTTCGGACACGCGGAGCAACGTGCGCTCTTAACGAAACGCTAACCACCTACGCGACGACAACAAATACTCGTTGAACACGTCTTCCTTGGACACGATGTACGACAGATCGGACGTTGTTGTCGTCTTCGTCTTCGTCTTCGTCGTTGTCTTCTTCTTCTTTTTCTTCGTAAATGATTCGCAGGAAGGACGAACGCGTTGCATGTTGCAACGCTATGAAAGAGAAAAAGAGACAGACAGGGGGAGAGAGAGAGAAAGAGAGAGAGAGAGAGAAGCGACAAGCGACAGAGAATACGAAGGAAGGAAAGAAATAGATAGATAGATATAGATAGTTAGATAGATAGATAGATAGATAGATAGATAGATAGATAGGTAGATAGACAGATGGATAGAAAGACAGACAGGCAGGCAGGCAGACAGATAGGCAAAGAAAGAGACAGAACGTGAGAAAAAGATATAGAACGGTACTGCACGGTTTTCCTTTTTACCGGCACGCGTGCACGCGCCGCAACAACGTTGTACCGTGCATCGTGCACAACTTCGAGAGGGGGAAAAGTGTAGCGATCGGGAAGGGGAGGGGAGGAGCGCGCAAGCACAACACACCAACACCCCGACGGGACGTACGCGACACGGACATGGGTGCCTCTTTCTTTCGCGTAAATCGATGAGCGCACTCGATTTCACTGGGTTTTCTCGCCTCGCGAGACGGATCCTCGAGGACAATTAATACTGTCCTAATAGGACGTAGTTTAGGCACCGATCTTTTGATCTCCTCGCGTGATACGCACCTTACGCACGGGGCCCTAGCCGGGGGGGCTGGCGAATTTACGATTTTCGGCCAAAAAATCGTCGGGGCATCAACCAAAGCAGAATTTCAACAATGGTGGCCGCTAGAGAGCGAACCGTACGCAAACCGTCGACACCTAGCGGCGGCGACGCGAATCATCGAAACTTCTCTTTCCCTCGCTTCCTTCGTATATATGTATATATATATTTGTATGTGTGTAATGATGTGTTGCACGGGTGTGTATGTTTCGTACTTTTTTCTTTTTTTTTACTCGCGAATCATCCTGCGAATCGAAAAACGCAACTTTTCACATATTATATATATATATGTATATATGTGCGTGCATATATATTTTCTTTTTCTTTTTTTTTTTTTCCCTCTCTCTTTCAATATTTTCCAACAAATTTCTCTTTTAAATATGACGTTCGTTTTTCATCGGGGGGGAGGGGGGGAGGGGGAACATTTTTCGTCGAGACAATCTTCCTGTGAAAAATATTCATGTTCGATCGTGAATAGCGATTTTAAAAGCCGGCGATCGTGCGTAATGTCCGCCGAATGACGCGTATTCCTTTTTTTCTTTTTCTCTCTTTTTTTTTTTTAAATTATGCAACCTGAAACGACGAACTCGGCGATATATTTGTTCGCAAGATTTTTTCTTTTTCCTTTCTTCATCTTCTTTCTTTTTCTTTTCTTTCTTTTTTTTTTTTTTTTTTTCTTTTCTTTTGAACGACGAACAAATTTTCCCGCGGAAAATTTCTGTCGTCGTTTGTTTCAGATTTGTCGTCGACACGTTCAACGAAGAAATCGTTCATTGCAATCGAGAAAGTCGCCCTCCTGCATGCGATTGTCGAACTATGATACTATAGTATTCGAATCAAGAGAATATGTCCGTGCCAATCAACATTTTCTTACGAATTCTTACCGATCCAACAGAGATACATATCGCATGACCGATGTCCCACAATGATGATTGGTTGTTTCTTGATATTACGAAAATTTCCCGTGCAAACGAGTCTTAATGTTAAATATAATTTTTCATTGTACGTTTCATTGTATGTTTCATTGTATGTACGTTAAATTACATTTATTGTATATATATATATATATGTACGTATATATATATATATAGCGATCATATGTTTAACATATATGATCATTGGTGTTAATCGAATGGACAATTTTGTATTGTTTGTTTGTCTCTCTCTCTCTCTCTCCCTCTCACTTTCTCCTTTTTTTTAACATTATTTTTAAATATTTAAATCTATCACAATGTCTATATAAAAGAAAAATTAAATGGACATATTTAATATAACAATATTTCTTTCGACAAATAAGCATTTAATGTTAACAAATTATTCTACATATCGATCTATATCAAAATATTTACTTTTTAAATTTAATTATATTTTTTTTTTATACTATTTCAAACGTCAAACTTTGATATTAAAAATAATACATGCGTTTACAACGAAATACATTTATTAACTTTCAATATATATTACTTATTGAACCGCGGCATATCGTTTACTATTATATCCAACATTTTTACAAAATAGTTCGATGATCTTTAAGATGATATACGTATCTATATAAATATCTAATTTTCTCTATTATCAACGACGTAGTTAGTCCCAATGTTTCTACATGTCGTGTGTGTGTATGCTATGTATATATATATTATGTATATATATGACAAACGATGTGAATTTGGTTATAAGCGATTACGAAATTCGAATGTAAAGGATTCTACGCATTAAAACGCGGGAATAAAGTTAAACATCAGTGTCCTTCTCGAATCTTCTTAAAAAAAAAAAAAAAAAAAAAAAAAAAAAAAAGACAATACTCGATATTGGATAATCGATAGTTTCGAAAATGAAACTAGTTATTTTTTATATTGTCACGTTTTGGATTATACATTCTCCCTCTCTCTCTCTCTCTCTTTTTCTGTATATGTGTGCACTACCTTTTAGAGACACAAAATTTTAATCTTATTGATAAAAGAGAAAATTCTGTTTCGGAAGAAGAAACAAACGCGCGCGCTATACGAATCGTACGAAATAGAATCGATTTTATTGGGAATCTGAACGTTTTATACCTGTAATGTTACTTCGATTATTTTTATTCTTGTAACGTATACATATATGTATTGTATATATATATATATATATATATATATATATATATATATATATTTTACTTCTTTTGTATGACGCCAATCGCAAAGAGGAGCGTTGCAATGACGCAACCCGTCAAACCATACTGACTCGAGAACACGTCGAAAATTCTACGGCAGAACCTCTTTAGAATGTTCCACACATACGTATGATTGAACATACGAACGTTGCCATGTTTTAATGTATACGATACGTACGTACGTATGGCCCCCCTTCGTAACGTTTGTTGCGTCAAAAGGAAAATGGCGTTTAGTTCGTGTCGTCTGCTCATTTTGACAGTTTACGATACGTTACGCGTTACCTCGATAATTTTCGTTTAAAAGAAAATTTCCTTCCATCGATTATTCCTCACTCATAGTTTATCCTTATAATATTAATATTATATTCAATTTGTATAAAGAATTCGTAATATCTTTTATTTATCGTTATAATAAGATAATAAAATACGGTATATACATTTTTTGTGTTCAGCAGTAGTAATATTAGTAGTAGTAGTAGTAGTAGTAGAGTACTGTCGTCTGCTAATCTGACAAGAGCGCAGAATCGGTAATCAGTCGAGTGACAAATGATATGGCGTACGGGTGTGGATATCGAATCGTCATGGGGATTGTATTATTTGTGAAACATTAATGAAAATGAACATTAGTAGACTTATTTCCGAATAACATGAACGGAAGGTTTTACCTTGTGATATATTCCCGATGATGGAGGCAGAGGTTAGAGTCTGATGACGTCCTTCAAGTATTTTCTACTATAGGTTGCAAATTGTTATGAATATCATATGCAACACGAATGACGTGTGATCTATTGCCAATGTGCAAGCGATAGTCAACGTGTGAATTTCGTAATAATATATAAGGGAACTATATACTTAGTTCTATTGAGTCAATGTTTCATTCAAATTGTCATGTTATGCAAGTATAGATGCAATTTATTATACAAGTAAATATCAAAGTCCATAAGAATGGTTCCTTAATAGTTACATTATAACATTATAATATAGACTGTTTAAAAATATTCTATCAAAGAGAATTGGAATAACCTATGAATGTTTAAGACCTAATGGTTAATATAATCTCTAGTCAGAAAACAGTCTAAGATAAAAAGCTGTATATTGATGTTGAAAATGTGATCAATCTTTGGCATTATTGGTTTGGTACCAGTTCAATCTATGATACAATAGTGTTTCTTGTAAGTAGACAAATTATGAATATATGATCGTATTCGGTTTGTCTATGAGATATATTACATACATGTGTATATATATATATCTGCATATGTGTGATTGATACAATAAAATCGAGTATCTTTGGAATACTTAAATAAAGGAAGGAGTATAATAAAGACATAAATATAGCCAAAAGAACTGAATTTACAAATATATAAATTCCAAATGACTTTATAAGTATCTAGGCTGTTTTTAGAAACTACCTTGCAGTACATGGTACATAATTTTACATTGGAAACAATTGTATATATGATGTTTCTATTGAAATATAACAATACCATTATTATATTAATGATGGATTAATAATTTATTAATCACTGCATTAGCTAATAATATTATGGAGCAGTGTAAAGGAAACGATACCTCTAGCATATCGAATGCGACAAAGGCAGATATATCACCAAAATCAAAACAAAAGAAAAAATCTCTATGTCAGATGCTTATGAATAAAAAGACCAGAGTTGGATGTTTGGAAACATCTTATAAAGACGGGGATTCGAATAAGAATTCTAAAGCTGATAATTCACAGCACGAATCTCATACCAGCACAAAATTATCTTTATGTTGTGCAATGACTGAACGCAGTAGAACACCTCCTCAAAGTTTAACCGCTAGTAGATTGTCTCCGACAACTTTAAGCAGGACATCTGTAAAATCAGAAGTAGCTTCTGTTAATGGTAAATGTCAAACAGATGCATTAGTTGAAAAACAAGAAGTTTATATGACATATGTTGATCACGAAGCTCATGAGAGTAATATAAATAAAAAAGTTATAATGCGAGAAAAGGAGCAACGCAAGAGTACTTACACAGAAGGTAAGACACAGAAAAAAAATTTCTTTTACAGTA